GAAGGAATATACAGTTGGACTATTTGACCACAGATGAACTATTTGTTTGATATTTCTGATAACTCCTAATGGAATTTTTGCTAAACCTAAAAAGGTTATTTCTGGATTGTGTATAGATAAAAGTTAGATCATGGGGAGAAGAGGTTTTTTTTTTTTTTTAATTTGTAACTTTAAAAGAGGGTGAAAAGTTATTATATTACTTTATGCTCAGTATGAGGAAGGTTGGAAGTTGTCTTTTTCTTTTTTTCTTTTCTTTTTTTCTTTTTCCTGCACCTTCTGAATTTTTCTTTTCTTTTTCCTTCTGGTTTAGTTTGTATTAGTTTTTACTTCAATAAAATTATTACATAAAAAAGATACATATTCAGCAAATCTCAATCAACCTGTAACTCAAGGGAAGGAGAAAGAATGTGATTAAAACTTGCAAATAAGCAACAAAACCCAATTCATTATTTTATGGACATGACAGTGAGGCAATATGGGGCTATTACATCTCAAGTTAAAGATACCCACTGATGTAAATTTCAGAATACTATTCAAGCAGAATAGCCTCCTCTTCTCTCCAAGTAAATAAGGAGGGTCTGGTCATTTCAAAATACAAATAAAATGGAATTGAGCAAATATGTTCCCCTCCCATCTTCCTGAAATGAAATAGTGGAGATGAATTCAGAAATTAAGGAAGACGCTTTTGCACATGTATTTGCCACTAAGTCTGTACAGGAACAGTCTCAGTGGAAGAGCCACATTGTCAGTTATGAGTTCCAATAATTCCATCCAGGTCTTCCATCCTCTGCTCTTCTCCCAGGGGGGCTGGGGGAGACACTCTGAGTCATGAGAAATCATTTTAAATGTTCACGATGCATACAATTACACAGGATCCATCTTTCTTCACTGTTTTTGTTTTTCTTCTTTAAGCAACACCATCCAGACCATCGAAGAGGCATTTGAATGAAGGCTGAAGGCTTTGCTAATAAATATAAGTGGCAGTTGATTCTTCCTGCACATAGCAAGGAACCAGCTGGTGAAGTTCTTGTGTCCAGAAAATGTCCATTTGCTCATACTAATTTCCATTGTTGCTATAAGCCGGTAGCCTTATATCAAACCTTCAAGAACTGAGAGAACATTTCCAGATGTCTGCAGTTTAATTAGTGCCACAGGCCACCGATAGGCTAATTACAAAGGTTAATGATACTTCTTTGTATTCCTATCCTGTGCTTATGTTATTTCTTATGAAACCAAAGGCTCCATTCCCTTGCTCTAGCCTTTTATTCATCAGGCAAAGAATTTTGCAAAAATGACATAATCCATCAAATATCATTTCCCCCAACATTCATGAAAATAAAGGTACGTTTCTATCTTCATCTTTAGCTTGGTTTAGCCTATTTTCTTCTAAAAAGCACTGGGTGGACTGTGGCAAGGAAGACTAGATTTGGGAATGACCAGACAACAGCCCACTTCTTGTTTGTTCATAAC